AAGCTTGTTTAGTGGCTCGAGGTTTTACTCACCAACAATGTATTGATTATGAGGAGATATTTGCTCCCATTGCTCAGATGCTCACCGTTCGTACTCTTCTTGTGGTCGCTGCTGCTCATCGTTGGCCCTTATACCAGATGGATGATAAAAATACTTTTCTCCATGGCTATTTATCTGAGGCAGTATATATGCAACCGTCTCCAGGGTCTAATATTCCTCCGGGACATGTATGTCTCTTTTGACGTGCTATTTATGGTCTCAAGCAGGCACCACGTGCTTGGTTTGAGTATTTTCACGATATCGTGCTCAAGACGGGCTTTATGAAAAGTCATCAAGATGTTTCTCTGTTTGTTCGCACTACATCGTGTGGCAGAGTTTTATTACTCATCTATGTAGATGATATGATCATTTTCTCTGTTTGTTCGCACTACATCGTGTGGCAGAGTTTTATTACTCATCTATGTAGATGATATGATCATTACAGGTGATGATGTGGCATCTATGTAGATGATATGATCATTACAGGTGATGATGTGGCTGGTATACAGTACGCAAAATCTCAGTTATAACAACAATTCCACATGAAGGATCTTGAATCTCTTCGGTATTTTTTTGGTCTAGAAATTTCTTAATGCCCGCGGGGTGTACTACTGTCTCAACAGAAGTATCTCTAGGATATTCTAGATTAACCGACGATGCAACTGTCAATACTCCACTCCAACAAAATGTCAAACTTCACTCTACTGATGATGAGCCTCTATCTCATCCTACTCGATATCGACATCTTGTTGGTCAGTTGGTCTATCTGTGCATCTCTCGACCAGATATCTCTCATACTGTTAGCATTGTCAGTCAATTTGTTAGTGCCCCACGTTCTGTACACTATGCTATCTTATTACGGATTCTTCAGTATCTCCGGGGTACTAGCACTCGCTCTCTTCTGTTTCCTGCTACATCCAAGTTAGAGATGTGTGCATATTCTGATGCTGATTAGGCTGGTGATCTCACTACTAGGAAATCTACCACAGATTATTATATATTTCTTGGTGATTCCATAATTTCCTGACGGAGTAAGAAACAATATGTTGTTGCTCTTTCTAGAACCAAGGTAGAGTATCGTGCAATGTCTTCAACAGCTAAAGAGATTATTCATCTTCGTCGTTTTCTTAGTGATGTTGGTATTTCTGTTTCGACTCCCACCCTTCTATACCATGATAATAAGAGTATGATCCAAATTGCTAATAATCCAGTATTTCATGAGAGGACCAAACACATTGAGATCGACGCTCATTTTGTCTATCAACAAGTTATCAAGGATAGGACAATTCTACTTCCTCATGTGTTATCCGCCGACGAGCTTGCAGATTTCTTCACAAAGGCCTTACCTGTTCATCGATTTCAGTTTCTTATACGCAAACTCACTTTGTTTGATCTAACATGAGTTTTAAGGGAGCTATTGATAATTGTTTGGTGGAAAATTTGTAGTAAAAAGAAGAATTAAAAGAAATATATTTGATTTGTATTCTCTCGATCTCAATTACAATTTTGATTTCCGATTACAAAAGAGAAGAGAATTGATGTAAATTCTCCCCTTTGTTTAATATTGGGTTCTTCACGGTAGCGATGAGATGTCTCCCTCGAATGCTCGCGTCGAGTTTGCTTCTCGTTGACGATCCGAACGTCTTGTTTCACTGGAACGGTATCTTCTCCTCACGATTTGATGCTGTGAAGGACTTGCGTGGTAAGTTTAAAACTCTGAATGAGTTGATAACTCAGAGCGAGTTTAAACTCTTGTAAAAGAGTTGATTGATCTTAACCATAATTGGTTAGACAAGCCAAGCACGAAGATAGCCCCAAGAATTTGTTGCCGAGAAGATGATTCGAAGAAGCTGATCTCTAGATCTTCAAAATTCTCAAAGATCCAAAGATATCCCCCCTCTCTCCTCTCTATCCGGAGAGCCATCAACTAAACCGATTTTTCAGGTATTTATGGGGGATTAAGGGGTGTAACCACCCCCTTAATTCACTCCTAAGTGGGGCTGAATAGGGTGTAACCGCCTCCTTAGTCCGCTCCTAAGTGGGGGCGGAAATCCCTCAGATCATGGGGAGAAAATGGTTTCTGGAACCGTTCAACTCGTGTTTGAACGAGTCAAACGCGGGTCCTGCATTCTGGAATAAAATCTGCATTTGAACGCAGTGTTTGTAAGTTGCGTTGGGAAACAGATGGAACCTATGTTGGCAGCTGTTAGAAGCTGCGTTGGCAACAGTTAGATACTGCGTTTGGCAGCGGTTGGAAGCTGCGTTGGCAGCAGTTAGATGCTGCGTTTGGCAGCGGTTAGAAGCTGCGTTTTGCAGCATTTAGGAGCTACGTTTGGCAGCAAATGGAAGCTGCGTTTGCAGCATTTAGGAGCTGCGTTTGCATAGCTTTGACTCTGGAATGAGGTCACTTGTGCTTCACCTCTGGGATGCAGGGATAAGTCCTGCGTCTTGCATTGAAGAGATCGTTGGCTTGTAATCTCTTCTGTCAGAGCATCGCGACGATCGTTGGTTAGTAATCTTCGCTTTAGCTCTTTAAAATGTGAGAGTCGTCAGATTGCAACTCTCATTATTGGTTGTGAAGACCATTGATTAGAGCTTTCATCGGTTATCGTGAAGGTCGCTGATTTATAACATTCATCGATCTACGTGAAAATCTTTAAATTGTAGTCTTCAGGAAGTCGTCGAATTGTAACCTCCATTGTTGATGTTTGATAGAGATAAGCTATCTGTTGTGATTTTTAGACAGCCTACAATAATAGTGTTGATAATAGTATTAGTAGTGGGTTTTAATCTCACATTGATTGTGAGAACACACCTCACCCTCCTCTACTTGTATAAATATATGTGCACACTCAATATTCAGCTTAATGATAATTTACCCAAAACTCTCTCTCTCTTACTTTAACATATTCTAAAATAGCTGAATAGATGGTGATGCAATGTGATGGACTTTTAAGTTAGGTCTGAAACTAGATCAGATTACAGAAAACACAAAAGAAAGAGTGAAAATCTGATAATAAATTTTATTAATAACTAGGGTTTATTTTCATCAAAAAATACCTATTACATCCAGAAAATGAGTCTGTTATAGACTCAAGAAAAAAAAGTTTAATAATATATTTTACCAAAAAAGGGAAACTAATTAAAATCTAGGAATATCCTTCAATTCGGATTATTGATTCTCCATATCAATTAGCCATCTATGTTTGATTTCATTGGGGATTATTGGAACACACAAGCACTGCACATAATAAGGAGCGCAAGCACCCACACGAACAACACGGAGTTTTTTGAGTGGTTCGGCCAAATATGCTTACAACTACGGTCTCTCATCCACTAACTTCACAAATCAATACAAACAATACAAGTTTTGCACGGACAAACTTGAGAACCCTCGCACATCTCACATCTTTCAAGAAACTCAAGATCACCGATCACTCAAGAGCTCCAGGAGACCGACCGTCACACTACATCACTCAAACAACTCGAGAACACTGAAGAGATATTGTTTGCCCTTCTGAATTGGACGGTCTAAACGTGCCTAAAATGAAACGATCGGTAAATAGTGTGATTTGAACAAATTTGAAATTCCACTAGGTTTAAGTCTTATTGGATCAATTGATCCATATAGACTAGCCAGGGCTACATAACGATAAGATTTATTTTCATATTATCTAGATCATTTTTGGGAAGAAGCAATCTTATCTACTCCTCTATATTTAAAGAAGAATCTAGAGGGTTAATGTTTATACTACAGTAAAAACTACAGAAATACTGTAACATAAACAGATTACAAAATCTACTCATCACTCGACGTTATTGTTTATGCTACAGTATTTTACTGCATCATAAATAGTAAAACAAATCAAATGTATTAAAACTTATATCCTTCTTTAAGTATAGAGGAGTAGATATGATTTTTAAATTAAATGTATTAAAATTTAGATCCTCCTTTAAGTATAAGGAGTAGATATGATTTCTAATTTTAAGCATACAATAATTAAATTAAATGTATTAAAACTTAGAGGGACGCAAGTTTAAAATGCAGTGCTTAAAAAATAGGAGGCCGTGTTTTGCACGGGGTGCACACTAGTAAGATTCAATGAGAGTGCGCTGAATTGTAAATTATTTTTTCATTTTCGCGTATATAGATCCAAACCCAACGTGCTGGGTCTAGATTCAAGAAGAAGTCATATCTTATATTTAAACTCTACACAATCTTCTAAGAATATATTGCTTAAAGACTTTGGTGTTCAAATAATAAAATTCTATCCTAATAAGGACATTTTCACTGTCACCCGTTGTTTTAAAATTTAAATGTAGCATTGTTTATTCTGCGTGCATATGCACCCTATCAAATATCTAGTCTATTATAAAGCTTCCCTCTCCTTACCGTCCTCAGCAAAACAAAAACGTTTCCGTTCTCAAATACCAAAAGTTGGTATTAATGGCGTCTGTTATACCTTCACTCTCGGTGCCCAACGTCCAGGAACTGGCCGACGCAATCAACAGCGGCACGTGCGAATTTCCGGATCGATACATCAGGCCCGAAGCAGCAGATTCCGATCCCGTCGTCGACAACATTGGGAACGACGTGCTTCCGATCATCGACTTAGAGCGGTTGAGGAACCCGCGACGTTGTAAGGAGGAGCGCGCTAAGCTCGATCTCGCCTGCAAAGAATGGGGGTTTTTCCAGGTAACTAAGTAGCAAAATGCTCGAAAAATATTTGCTGAAGAATTTGGATGTGAATTGATATTATCTACGTGCATGTTTGCCTCCTGTCGATGATGTAGCTAATAAATCATGGAGTACCTGAAGAATTCATCGAGAAGGTGAAAGAAGATGTTGCTGGCTTCTTCAAGCTTCCGTTGGAGGAAAAGGAAGCTTTTCCAAAAATACCTGACCCGTGACGTGAAAGCACGGACCCAGTGTTCGTTATTGAAGAGGCAGAAACCTAGACGGGCAGACATACTTTTACTCACTACTCAGCCACCGAAAAACCGGGACATGAGGTTCTGGCCAACAGACCCTCCGACGTTCAAGTTAGTATTTGATAATCAAATATGCCTTACAATCTATCAATATATCACGGACATTTATCAGAGCGGTAAATAAATTAAGAAATTAAAAAGGAAAAAAAAAACTCTTATGACAACGTTTGTTTTCCTCGTTTATTTTCAGGGAGACGATAGATAAATACTCTCTGACTTTGAAGGAAGTATCAGCTTCTCTACTGAGATCAATGTCTGAGAGCTTGGGACTTGAATCTGAGTATCTGATCAACGTTTTTGAGGATCAAACTCAAATGATCAGATTCAACTACTATCCACCATGTCCCGAAGCTAACAGAGTTATCGGCCTTTCTTCGCATTCTGATGCCACTGGTTTGACGTTTCTGCTGCAAGCAAATAACGTTTCGGGCTTACAAGTAAAGAAGAACGGTAAATGGCTCACCGTCGAACCATTACAGGGAGCTTTTATCGTTAATGTTGGCGATCTTGTTGAGGTAAAGTCATAGAAATAATTGCATAAATTTTGGGGTTGATTCCATAAAATCCCCCCTTGAACTACTTTAATTCGAGAACACCCCCTGAGCTTTGAGGTCTTGCAGATAACCTCTTGGATTCTTTTAACTGTACTGATTACCCCTAAAGTTTCTTCACATAACCCCTTCAACCCCTCAGTAACACAGTCAAGTCTAACATATGTAACATGTCACGTGCCAAGCACACGCAAAAAAGAACAAACCCTCAGCCCTAAAAAAACATTGCCATTTTATATTTTTCAAATACTTTTTTTAACAAAACAATCACATTGTTACTTCCTATTCTAAGACCAATTAGGTAACGATTAATTTCCAACAGCCACCGGTGGTGGTGACGGGCGAAACGTCACAAGGATTTTCTATTAATCACGCAAACCTTAGGGGGACATATTCACCCAAAAAAATATAAGACTGTCATGAACATCGGTATAAGATGTGAGACAACAAACGCATTAATCCTTGACATGCAAACTTATAGTAGAACAAAGTAACTTTTACGATACTAACTTCACTCACTAAATAATTACCTTTTATATGGGAAATCAAAGGCTCAAAAGATAAATATTCTGTTGTTATTTAGATATTCACCAATGGAAGATACAAGAGCGTGGAGCACAGGGCAATGGTAAACCCTGAGAACGCACGCGTCTCAATAGCTGCGTTCAATGCGCCAGCACGCGACATAATCGGG